TATCTTCTCCTCCCGCGTCCAGCCAAGCCTTGGACATCAATTCTATCCTTCAAATAAAAATATTAACCCTCACATTTGTGGAGTTCTTTGGTTTAAGGAGCACTTTCAGATTCCCTGTTTTCATGTACTCATTATAAGAATTAAAGCACAGTGGAAAAGTACAAATAAGAAAGTAAAAAAAGTCAAGTGATCAAGGTCAACATCACCAATGACGTCACGTTGAGATCATTTGCCCCTGATATGATGTGATGAGATGAGCACATCACTTCAGTGGTCTTAGTCCCTAAAACCAATAACCTCGGTCTAATCAGGAGAAAATATCAAGCAAGTGAAAACTGAGGGATATGGTGCAAAATATCGGACCACTACTCTTTGAAAGGGTCAAAGCTGTGAAAGACCAGGAAAGACTGAGAAACTGTTATGGGCCAGAGGAGACTAAGGAGACATAACATCTAAATGCAACATAGTATTCTGGTTTGGAAACTGGGACAGAAAAAGGACATCAGTGGAAAAATTGAAAAAATACAAATAAAGTTGGTAGTGTAATTAATAGTATCATACCAATTACCACTTCTTAATGTTGATAACTGCTCCAGGCTTATGTGACATTAGAGGAATGTTACTATTAAAGGCCAAATGGGATAGTACTTTGTGTACTATCTTTCATCTTTTCTGTAAATCTACAATCATTTCAGTATTAAAAGTTAAAAAAACAAAAAAGCTTGAAATTCATATATTTCAAATGAGATGAACATTGCACCAAACATCTTTCAATGCATGTATACAGATAATCAGAAATAACTTTAATTATTTTATATTATAACTAGAGGCCTGGTGCACGCACCAGTGGGGTCCCTCTGTCTGGCCTGCAGGATCAGGCCGAAACCGGCTCTCTGACATCCCCTGAGGGGTCCCGGATTGCGAGAGCATGCAGGCTAGGCCGAGGGACCTCACCAGTGCATGATCAGGGCCAGGGAGAAATGCAGAAGGTTGGCCAGCTGGGGAGGGACCATGGGAGGGCTCCAGGGTGTGTCCGGCCCTCTTGCTCAGTTCTGATTGGCCAGACCCCAGCAGCAAGCTAACCTACTGGTCGGAGCATCTGCCCTCTGGTGGTCAGTGCACATCATAGAGAGCGGTTGAGTGCTTAGCATATCATTAGCATATTATACTTTGATTGGTTGAATGGATGACCAGACACTTAGCATATTAGGCTTTTATTATATAGGCTATAGGATACTCAAATTTTGAGAGATAATTATTTTACTTGGATTTAACAATTTTTAAATGAAAGCAAAGATGAAAGAATTTCTGAACTTTAGGTAGGTATCCTTCCACCAAAGAGATATTATCTCCTCAAAGATCCCTCTGGAAAACATCAAGAGGTTGCAGACATCATTTTTTTAAATTTTGTTTTTCAATTACAGTTGACATTCAATATTTCAATTTTAGCTCATTGTTACCTGTATTGGCACTGTTATAACTTTTCCCCAAACTTCCTGTTTTATATTAGTTATATTGATATTTTTACAGTGTTGTGTGAATCTGTTAAAGGTTGTTTTTAGTCATGGATTACAGGAAACCTAAGCAAACAGCAGTTTAAATAAACAAGTAGTGAAGAGTTAGGCAGTTGCTGTCACGGGGTTCAGTGCCTCAAGGATGTCAGGACTGGGTTCTCTACAGTTCTTCTGGAGTTTTCCTCATGATTGCAAAACAGCTGCTGTTACTCCAACCATCATGTTCTTGTTCCACCAAGGAAGACAGAGAAAATGACTCTATAAAGAAAGGAAAGCTTTCCACATTTTCTTACTCAGCCACAGATGTGTTATTGCAATCCCTAGCTGCAACTGAGGCTGGGAAATGTGGGAAATTTTTTAGTAGGCACCTTTGATGGCCCCAATAAAACTGGTATTTCTTGGTAAGGAAGAACTGCTGATTCTCGCAGTTATATTTTTGTTTTGTATTTAAATATATTTAATATTTACAGGTAATCTTATATACCAAAGCTTCTTTATGCTTGAATGATTTCTTTTGATCCACTTCTTGGTTGGCAGGATTTCATTGTTGGGGTGAGCTGAGGAGGGACCCCAGGAAGCACCCATAGAAACCTGCCTTGCACCTCCCTAATGTCTTCACTGCCTTGGAATCAGACTCTGAATTGAAAGAGAGTCAAGGTGGTCCAAACCTGCTTCCCTCCCCCAGGCAGAAGTTGTCCCTTTAAAAGAGAGAGGAGGCAGGGGTAGCTCACTGCTGCCAGATTGACAGCCAATGTGCTCCCTGGAGGCCTAGCATCTGATTGGCAGCAGAAGGACA